GGGGGGGGGGGGGGGGGGGGGGGGGGGCCTTGTTCTTTCTCAGGCTCATTCAGCAATGAAGGAGCTTTCTCTTGGAAAAGCGGCAAAGTAGGCCTCATACTGGGACAGAGCTGTTGTGCAGGGACCTTTGTCTTTCCGTGGTAGTCACCAGGCAGAATGCTTAAGAGGAAAGGAAAAAGGGTAAAACGGAGAGGGCAGAATCCTGAAGAGATGATGCAAGCCTCTGAAAGGAACAGGCCTCTGAATCAGAGGCTGCGGAGAGATAACCAAACGGGTTCCTTTTTCTGGAGTGCCTGGACATTCGGGAGGGGGAGCAGAGAGTGATTGTTTTAATTAGAAGTCTTACCAAACAGCTGTTTTGCTTGCGATGAGCCTAGAACACCCTGCAGTGGGCGCGTGACCACCCAGGTGACCGATGGATTGTTATATAGGCTCAAGTTGTACAAGGTTCTTGCAACTTCTGCCCCCCGCCCCAGGCTCTCTGCTCTCTCCCTTGTTGTATGTGGAGAATGGATGGGAAATGACCCAGGGCATTCTAGTTCTGTTGTAGATTTCCCTCAACATAGTTGGTCTAGAGTCCCTCATCAGCCAAAGACCTCTGATGGAAGCAGTCTCAGATGCCCCTTCTGAAAAAATGGCTAGCCTGGCGTGGAAAAGTTCTCCCCCTTCTTTTCCTTAAAATGTAGAAGAATCAAAAAAACCTAGAGTGTCTGAGAAAAAATAGTTCCTACTCCTTCGTTCTTCTTTATGCCATTTGCGTGAGGTCCTTGGGTCAGCCTGTGGTCATGTGGCCTGTGACTTCTCCATCTGAGCAGGGGGTTGGCTGCTCTGCTGGGCCATTCTTTAGAGTTTGTTTCTGGTATAGTTTCCCTTTTTCTACAGGTTGATAGTGGAGATTCCTCTGGTGAAATTGTGTCTCTGGAATAATAGAGCCTCTCACAAGAAAATGGAATGTCTAAATGGGAATCACAATACCCTTTGAATTATCCAACTGCTGAATTTTTGAATTTTTGAAAGCCCACAGATTGTTTTGAAAAACCCAATGACACCTTGACTTCTCAAAATATTAATAGCAAAACTTTTAAAAAATTATTTTACATGTAGATAGTGCATCCACAGAGTCAAAGACTTTTAGATCTGGATAGGAATTATAGAATATGCAATTTAACACCTTCATTTTAAAGATGAGGAAATTGTAGCAAATTTATCTGGGTCACAGGGCAGAGCCAGAAAAGAGAACTCAAGGCTTCTGATCCTATTGCCATATAAGATTAACATTAATAATTATAACTTACATTTATTGTGCACTTACTATGCCAGGTGATGTGTTAAGCAAATGTATTTATTTTCATAGAATCCTCACAATAACTCTATGTGCTATGTATTATTATTCCAGTTTTATAGATGGCGACACCGAGGTTCAGACCCTGTAGTCACTCGGCTATACATGACACAGGTAGGAGTGACACCTAGATCTGACTTCAGAGCCTATACACATTAAAAAATAAAAGTGGAACGCGTATGCTAATCTTACACATTTAAACTTAAAAGCCCATGAGATGCAAATGAGAGTGTATTTCTAGCACAATAAGATTAGACACACAATGTGCGTTATGGCCCTTGTGAACTCTCCATGGCAGGAAGGGCTAGGTTTCCCCTTGTGACAGTCCAAGCCCAGCTGCATAGGATCACTGACTGGTGGTGTGTTTTTCTCTTTGAAAATAGTTCAGTGATGGTCCTCACCTTGTTAAGAACAGCAACTGAGACCTGCGTTACTTGCTTGGAACACAGGGCTCTCAGTGACCCTCTGGCCTTTCCCTCAGTGTTTCCTGTCACTCCTTTCCTTTGGTGGACAGCCACTCCACCCACACCCCACCCCAAATAGCTGGCTTAGCATTGTCACTAAAACTATTATCAGACCTGCTCGTGGTGGCTCAACCTGGAAAGTTGGTTGTCCAAGTAGATTGTTTATGAATAGAAACGATGCAGTTCTTAACTCCACTTACTCTGTTTGTTCTGAGCTCTGTGGGGGGGGGGATGGGAAGGGGGGTCACAGAGCAGGGGACTGGCTGGGAGTGGGGAGTGTGGAGAGGAGTGCTTTTCTCTGCTGACTGGGATGCCACCTGCACCTGCCCCTTGCCCTAAGTCACACTTCTCTCTCCACCTGCTGCACCTCTAAACACTGGCTGTCTCACTTGTGGGCCATGAACCTGCGACTTTTCTTGGTCATTGAAGAGACAGAGCCCTTTCAGAAACCTACTTCTCGAACCTTTTTAAAAATTGCATTTGGCTCTCCACATTCCAGTAGGATAAAAGTCAAAATCTGAGTTGGTGGTGATGAGAAAGAGCACTGGGTCATTCAGAAGCGGCAGGGGGGGTCCTTTGGTGAATCAAGAGGAAAATTAAGCAAACAAGCCATGCATGGGTGTCTATGAGAAGTCAATTTTTTTTCAAGGTCATTATGGGAAGATTATACATTTTGCAGGTCAAGCTCTTCATAGCAAGAAAAGGGAATTTTTAATCTTTAATCCTACCTGCTTGATGCCTCTAAAACTAAGCTCAACTCAGTAGTAATTAGTGATGCAGTCTGCTGTCAGTCAATTTTCTATTATGACAGTCCAGTCCATTTTATTATCAGTATGTTGACAAGGTCATAAAAATGACAGTGCATGATGCCTGATGATTTTACAGTGCAGCTGCATATTGTAATGGCCAGGGCTTAGGGGTGGGGGAAAAGCAAGCAAGCAGCTCCAGGACAATAACAGCTATGATGGTGTTTCTTCCTAAAGTAACGTGTTTTTGTGTATGAATGTGAAAAGTAGTCATCTTTGAATTTAAAAAATTCTGAAAAACATTTAATTCATGAACTGACTCAAAGAGCATTTTCCTTAGTGACTACTGTGACAATCAGAACTTTCTGCACCTTTCAAGAGGACAGAAGGCAAACAAAACAAAACAAAACAAAATGGAATGGTGAATTAAAGGTCTACCTTCTTGGATTACATCTTTTTTTTTTTGTCTTTTTTCCGTGTCCGGCAACGGATCGCAACCCTCAGTGTCGCCCCCGTACCGGACCGGGACCGGCAACGGGATCACAACCCTCTGTGTTGCCCCCGCGCCTCGCTCAGCCAGTGAGCGGGAACCGGTCTGTATGTGGGATCCGAACCCTCGACGGGAGCACCGCCACGCTTCCCAAGCGGCGCACTAGCGCAGTGCGCCACCAGGCCGGCCCCATTGGATTACATCTTTAAAATCTGAAGTAATATAAACCTTGTTTCTTCTATTGTAAGTGAAGAATTCAACTCAATATATAAGTTGTTTATGTGGTTGCAGATATCCCAACATCTTTTGAGTTTCTATTTGATCAGGTTGATAATTTTATTTTCCAAAGGCTTCTCTATTTGCCAAATGCTGCCCTATCTTTACACTTAACCGAGTGTTGGTTTAGGTGGACCCATCCCCACCCAACAAGATGCTCTAAGACCCTTGCATAGATCTTTGTGCCATTGATTTGCTTAAGTATTATAAGTGTACCTGAGTTTCAACTTTGAACATGTTCCAGGTGTAATCTTTGACAGAGAACTAGTAATAGCCGGGAAGGAATACATGGAAAACGTTAAATTCATGTCTAATCCCCAAACTTCATTTTAGTCACTACTTTTCTGTTGCTTAATTGTTTCAAAAATCATGGACAAGAGGACATCAGTCCGTGATGGAATAGATTCCAATTTTTTTGTTTTTAAATTGGCTTAGTCACTCCTCTGTTTTGTTTTGAGAAAGTAGTTTTGTTTTCCTCCATCCAACAATTCAAAACAGGCTGAACCAACTTTTCTTGGAGCCTTTTACATAAATTAACTTAGGGAAGGCCTAGGAGTTTACACACTCAGGTTGGTTTTACAGAATTCTTTACAGCTGGAATCAAGGCGCTAGGAAGAATGAATGTCCTTTTCTGGCTGCG